CCCAAAACAGCCCAGGAAAAAATCAAACAGATTAAAAAGAGCCTGTGAGGAACCAATACTGGGAGGTTTCCCACAACCTCTTCCTGGCACTTCTTTACTCAGGACAACCCTTGGGATCACCCGAGAAGCATCTGCAGGTGCTTTGACATTTTTCCTGGTGCCATTTCTCCCCAGGTCTCTGTCACACTCCATCCAAGCAATGCATCCCAGCACGGGACAGGCCCAGAGATTCCTGGGAACAAAGAGTCAGCTGTCCCTACCACAATGGTTCATTCACCCTACCGACTGCCCTGGGAAAGGAAATGGAACGTGTGGAGCATCAGGAACATGGGATGGAGCATGGGGACAGTGGCCACAGCCAGGACCTGCTTTAGGTACTCCCCAAGCTGAATGATGCAAGGGGGAAAATCCATAGAGAAGCCCAAGACTACAGAAATACCAATGAAAGCTTGGACTTAAATATTACACATCAAGACAACTTCCTGACCTGAATTTTGTATATTCTTAATATAATTTCTCTTACTGCAAATTTTTTCAGGTATTCCAAAATTTGACAAAGGGTCTTTCCTCCATGTACTTTCCGTAGCAAAGAAGCTTGGATACACAGTACGAAGTTGAAACACTCTCAATCTTACTCAAAACTCAGTCCTAGAATAATTTAATTTAAGATTTTTCTATGAACAGAACAGAGAATTTATATCCTTCTGAAATACATAGTAACATCTCACCATGAGCTGCACAGGCTCTTAAAACAAAGAAAAAAAATCACATAACTGACTCAAATAAAAAGTGGAGCATAACACTTTAGAAAAGGGGAAGAAAGGATAGGGATGCACCAGGTATTAACACATTTGCTGGGGCAGCTAAGGAATTGCTGTGAAAATCTGCTGGAGATATGTTTGCTATGAAAGTGTGAGTGAGAAATGTTGAGGGCAGCAGCTAGAGAGCACAATTATTTACTGTAGTCAGGAAAGAACATCTCCTAAGAGAAGACACTCATTATTAACTTGTTAACAAACACAGCCTGAAGTAGGGAACTTTTAGAAGTCCCTGAAACTCATTCATTCCATCTAATATTCATCACCTAGAAAAGAAAGGAAAAGCTCCAATGGAGTCATCTAAAGATCATGCTGCTATAAGATGCATATGGTCAGAGATAACATTGTGCTAGTAATACTAGACAAGTGTGGAAAAGCTGCAAATGGCATATGTGTGTCAAGGAGAGGAACCAGAAAAACAGCCTTGGAGCATTTTGAGGAGAGGACAGAAAAGAAGAAAAAGAAAGGGTATAGATTATCAGGAAGACAGGCTCAAGCTCTTCCTGAAAAGCTGTCTGCTATTTTTGTATTCTCAACAAGACAGACCAGCTAACGTCAGCTCAAGACTGCTCTGTAGTTAAACTCCAGTCTGCTGACTGGAGTTTCCATTTTCCATTCAAGAGGCAAGGAAAATTACTCCTTTATTAGTTCACAGCATCAGCTGCTGCTAGCCAAATGGTGAACTTGTCAAGGCAAGGGATGTTGACTTTAATATGCCTTCTGTGGCTGGAAGGTCTAGAACTATCTGAGTCAGGTCAACCTTTCTGGTTTGAGCCCCAGTCTTTGGCTAACTTTTGATGAAGTGGAAGGTTCCCAGGCCAGCACATCCCAGCAGTTCCCAACCATGCACACAGGGACACAAGGGAAGGCACAGCTGCTCAGAGTTCATCTATAGCTCTCCTCTAACACCATCATACTACTCACCACAGAACAAAAGACAACAGCATTCATCTCCACAACATACCAAGTCTCTCACAATTACCTGATGATCTGAGCATGTCCCTACACACTTCCCTTTTTTATTTTTCAGTTTTAAACTTATAATGCCTTTACAGCAGCGCTCTCTGCTCTGCAGAAACAATATCCCTCACAACTGCATTGGCTTCCAACCATCCAACCTCAGCACAAAGGATCAAAGAATTGCTTCTAGACTCTCTCAAAAAAGGACAATTGTTTTATGAACTCTTCACACAACCAGTGCTTCAATAAAGCTTTGCATTATTGACATAAACCTGTACTTAGGCCTGTGTGAATTCCTACATTACAAGGGTAGAAGTTTGAAAGGTATCTAAATTTCTTTAGACATAATAGGAGAGGAAAACTCTTTTCAAAAGAAAAAAAAATTAGTATGTGTCTTGTATCTGTGTTCTTTCTTTCTTTTTTCAAGTTGCTAGAAAGGAAAAACAAATGGATCTGTTTATCAAACTATGACTAATTTCCACTGCATAGACAGTGCTTGATCAGAAAAAAAAAAATGAAAAGCTAGAACTTTGCTTATTTGAGCAGCTTTACATGCAAGAAAATTGGTCACCATTCAAACTGCAAAAGAACACTTTGCAGGCTCAAAAAAAACCCCAACATTTTCCCCTCTTATTCTTTTCTGTTGTCTGTTTAATTTAGTATCTGTAGCATAACTTTGATCCTGAAACCTCTTCCTAATGGGGAATTCTTGGACCAAAGCAGTAAACCCTTAAAGTCATTGATGTATGGTTTGTGCAGTTAAGAGTTCCTTCCAAAAAATTCAAAATCAACAACGTATATTTTAAATATAAAAGCAACTTTATACACGTTATTTACCTTATTATTAAGATAGGCTGAAAACCTTTAGAATTAGAAATTCTTTACTGGTATGTGAAACATTACTGCAGACTTACAAAATTATTTTTAACTAAATAAGCTGTTTGTATAACATTACACTTGCAATGTTTGCCACAAAAACTTGTAATAATCTGAGCTGGTCACTATAAAGCAAGAATTGTGCTATGATGTCTTCATGGAAGACCAAGTTTTCTCTCCAAGGTTTTTAACCACAATAAAAAGAAACACCAATATTAACATTCTGGGGAGAAATGACAACTTTAGAAGTGACCCTTGGTATATGACTTCTGTTGAATTCAGCTAAGGTATTCTTACATGGTACAGGGTGGAAAGAAGTAGAAAAGTAAAGACTCATTTGGTGTTCAAGTGAGAAGTTTTCCAAGAATGCAAAACACAGATCTAGTCAGAAAATATTGAGATGTGAGAGCTATAATAAAGATAGCTGTGTGGTTCCTTGTGTTCCTGGCTCAAGAGGAGAATTTCCTGTAGAAATCAGAATCTCTGGAGAGCAATTAGTGCAAATCACTAACACAGGTAACAAGTCCTGTTCTCTGAAGGAAACAGTGTATATTGGTTTGTTCTGGTTCAAGATACATGAAACTAAGAGAAACTGTACAGAAAAATTCAGGAGAGCACATCTTGGGCAGACACAGGCTCTGCCTGGAACAAGGAAACTGGCAAAAATGAGCACTTGCTGCTGGAAACTGAAGCAACCTGGTGGGCTCAACATGTGAACAAAGGCCTAATATATCTAAATATCATTCCTAAATATTCCTCTGGAGCACTTTAGCAGTGTTGAGACAGAGAGGAGGAACTGAAAGGTCACTGCTGCTGCAGGTGCCCAGTGGGACAAGGAAGGTGAAGTACAATGGGATGCTGCCTCTGGGAAGAGGCCATGCAGACCCTGGACACTGGGATTGTTGTCTTCCATGGATCTGACAGGGAACCTGCAAGAAACACTTCACACAGTCCTCTGCCACAGACAGGGCAGCCACAACATGGGCTGGCACAGGACAACAAAAACTTAGCAGGAGAATCCACTGCTCTGCTAGATGGCCTAACTAGCTCTTCTGAACTTCTGGAGTTATAAATACTCAGAAACTGGAAAAGCCTTGTAGGGAATTCATGTTTGGCTGCTCCTGGTTCTTTTGAGGTATTTTTTTATGGTCAATATTAGAAACAGGATAATGGTGAAAGTCACTGGCTGAGCCAGGAACAAACTGGGCCACCACCAGTCTAACCTGGCTTAGGGACTTTTAACTTTCAAAAATAAAATTAGAAAATGACCAGTTTTGGGTGACTTTAACACCAAGTTACTCTGTTTAGACATCAGAGCTCAGCCCCGCCTTCTAAGAGCTCAAGACTAAACAAAAGAGTATTTTTAAGCCCATTCCATATTTGGGGAAATAGACCTAACCAGTACTTTGCCCAAACTGAAAAAGTCAGGATAACAACCCAGTGTCCTCTTTGATGCCCAGACTGGCATTTCAAATGGTCATTAAAGTCTTTCAAAAGCCTATTGGGCAAGTCCACACTAACCAGCAATTTGCTACAACCACCAAACTTCCCTTCCATGTCAACTATGACTATGGCAGCGAGGAAACTTACACAAAGTCTTCAAGGAAACACTCTGCCAGAGTCACTATCCGGGGGCAATGTACTAACAGCACTATCTCACCAGGGCTGAACACCTTCAGATGGCCAAAATACGGCGTTATTTCCTACTCTACGCTTGAATTGATCGTCTCAGCTCGGAGACATTTGTTATCTTTAAACATGAAACAAACCAAAGGCAGCGAGCCCACGCTTAACAAGAGCAGTACCTGAGCTCTGGTTCCACTGTCGCCTTCCAATTGGTGAGGTCACTAAAACTAACAAAGCGGACATAAAACAGCACCCCTCAAAACTGGCAACAACTGCAAAGGTACACAAATGACTCCATGCACTATAAATAAGCCGTAGACGAAAACCTAAACTTTTTTTTCTCTCTTTTTTTTTTTTTTTTTTTATAAGTTTCCACCGCCCCCCTCCCCGGGTACCGCGGCGGGCATCACGGGGGTCGCGGCTATTTTGGAAACTGACCCTTGGGCCCCCTCCCCGGGCCCGGGGCCGCTCGGAGCTGCCCTTCCCCACCCCCGA